GAAAGCGTTGAGAGCTCTTGTAGGAACATGCGAGAGGTTACAACACCGCTACCGGTGTGTAAAGTACTAGGAAACGCTTCTGGGCCGCTTGTTGTCTCATCAAGAATAGGCTTTTGGAGTGTGATTGCAGATCGAGGGATTTGGGAGATTCTTCCTGTAGCGATTGACCACACGCTTTCTTGCATTAGCCAACATTACCATGGTGTCTGTGAAAATATACGTACTTTTCTACGGTAAAGCAGCCCCAGAAAGTGACTTTGCGGACCTCGACTTCGCTGGGTGTCAAACCAAGCGCATTTTCTACACCGTAATCCAAATGTAAACCGAGTTCGACACACATGCGTATACATCGCCCGATATAGGAGAAACCAGAGCTGTCTCTTCCTGTGCTTGGCTCACGAAGTGACATGATACAAAGCGCCTGTACTGTCGTGAGACTCGGGGTTTCATCCTCGAATAACAACCGCCTGGCTTCGTCGAAGAAATGATCTCCTGCCGTGCGGAAGTTGGATGGATCAGTACGACCAGAGGGGTCGTCTGTCATGTGGCAAGCATATGCGCATATGGCATTGACGAGCAGGGAGCAGCAGTACTTGTCGCGGCCAGCTCTGAAGTCTTTGTAAAAGCACTCTCGGCTAAAGAGGACGTAAAATGGATGGCTCCATGTAAAGTAGAGGTCGAATAGTCTCTCGACAAAGGCTAGGTCGTCAGTAACATTTGTCCATGTTGATCCCCGACGCTCTGGTTGGACACTGCTGATACGAAGCCGACCGCCGCTGAAGTTTTCTTCTTCATGGACGAGGCTCAGGCTGGCAGAGTGTCCAAAGTATCGGCTTTGGCCAGAGAGGGTTACAGCGGGCTTGCCGAGTAGTACACTAAAATCGGATTCGAGGCTTTGGCCCTCCGTGGGCGTGTTGGGGGTCAGAGTTACGTTCTTACGCCATGTCTCTGCCAGGGCGGCGTTGTCAAGGTCAGGGTTGCCTCGAATGAGCTGGACGAGCTCGCTGACGTGGTCCTCTGGTAGCTTCCGGAGGCAGCTGAGGATGAAATCGGCATTGGTCGGGTCCCCAAGGGTGAGGCTGGTGACGGAGGAAGCATCGCGCTTGGTGCCTGCGTTGTTGGAGGTTGCCTGTCCGGCTTTGGTACGCCGGCTCTCGCTTTCAGCGTCGTAGTGGCATTCAGTCTTGTAGACGGCCGTACAAGTTGCGCAGACGGGCGTGCCGCCGTCACACTGTGGATAAAGGTGTTAGCAAGGGAGCAACCCGCAAGGCTCTGGCGGGTGACCAGGCATACTCTTGTCAGTGTCACGATGTGAAGAGCAGTCCGCGGAGGCAAGTATCGACAGATGAAGCTATGCCCCTGTTTATGGTTACGAGGTTGTGCGCCGAGAAGCTACTTACTTTGGACTTGCGTTTACGACATGGGACACAGGCAGATTGCACGCAGCGGCGCTTAGTTGCTTTTGCGTCTTGAGAGTGAGCGTGGTCTTGGCTGTCTCTGGCAGAGGAAGCGGCAGCAGGCCCGCGAGGCATTGTTGGTCAGCGAGCAGGAGGAATGTCAGTCCACACGGGGCTCCGAGGGCGGGTCTGGTTATGACATTGTCTGACTTAGGCTGGCGAAGTATGTAGCACGGGAGATCAGCCACTTGGAGGGAGGGAGAGAGAGAAAGGCGATGCCCAATCAGGTATTCGTGACGTTGGGAGCCTGTTGCGGCATCCAATGTGCCTGCCCTGGGGAGTGGCTTGGCGGACTGGATACAAAAGACAGTACATGTATGGATTTTATGGCTGGGTGGCGAGCAGGGATGGGCCAGCACCGGGCGGGCGACGAGGAGGGTCGCTGAGGCTAGCAGCATGGCCAGACAGGCAAGGACAGGATGTTGTGCAGTAGCCAAGCGGCGAACAGGGCAAGGAACATGGCAAAGTGGCCCGCAAGTGGGAATTCGAATCGAGAGGCTAGAATCCCATGAGCCCCCCCCCGTCAGCTGATCGCCCCGTTGGCGCGCCCTTGGAGCCCGAGCCCGTCGCCAGCCTTTCGCGGATATGGGAGCGACGCGCTACCGGAATTGACGTCGCAGGCAAGGGGGGCCACATCGGGCCATCGAGTGGGGGCGCCTGGGGTTTTTGCTCTCCAGCCTCAGGTCCTGGACGAGCAGAGATTTTCTGAACGTCGTTGGTCACTGTTCCTCCTCCGCATCCAGGCATGAACTGCTGTTGCTGCTGCTACTAGCTTCGGCACGCCACGCCGAGCGAATGCCGTTGCAATAAGGGCCTCGCCATGCCTGCTGTGGCAACAGACGACCTGGTTCTGCTGCTGCCGCCCTGTCACGGCCGACCTGCGAGGACAGCATGGCGGGTGGCAGCATTGGTGGCAGCAAAAGTATGTACGTACGAGTAGCTTGTGAGGTGAAAGATGGATGGGGCTGGCGCCTGTAAGCGAGCTCACTGTCCGTTTCGATTGGTGAGTCACCACCCGGTGGGTGAGTGCTGGTTATGACACTGGTGCTGGTGCTGGTGCTGGTAAAGTGCTCATAGTCATAGTGTGCTCCTTTGCTCCTCCGCTCCTCCGCCGTGATCGTGACTCCATCCCAACTTCTACAATAGTAGTTGCCTAACTGCCCACCACCCGCCCTAGGCTGAGACGTCGCGGCCACTAGCTAGCTCGCCCACCCACTACCATGGTTGCGTGCACCACTACGTCCAGCCGTACCCCTTCCAGCCTCAGCAACAGCCGCATCCGCACCCGCACACTGTTCATGTAATTCCTTCGATTGGTAATTTCAGCGCCCGATACTCCTGTCTAAAATACATGTCGCAGCCACTCCCCCTCTGCCACGCCTACTCCTCACCCCCGCCCTGCATCTGCACCGGCAGCACACCCTTGATCGCCGGCAGCAGGCCTCGAGCGCCCTGTCGCGCCTGTTGGGCCAACACTGCATCCATGATCACCAGTGCCGCCATGCTCTCCACAATAGGTACGGCACGGGGCACCACACATGGATCGTGTCTGCCCTTGGCCTCCAGTACCCCGTCCTCTTGGTCGTATGTCACCGTCGACTGAGCTTGCCCGATAGTCGCCGCGGGCTTGAACGCCACATTGAAGTAGATGGGTGCCCCGTTGCTGATGCCTCCTTGAATGCCTCCCGAGTTGTTTGTCTTGGTGGTGAGCTTGGGCTTCGAGCGGAACACCTTGGCAGACGGGTTCTCGCCTGCGGGCACGGCGGGCGCCTTGATGAATGGGTCGTTGTGGATCGACCCGGGCACTTGTGCCCCTCCAAAGCCAGATCCAATTTCGAATCCCTTAGTCGCTGGAATCGACAGCATGGCGTGCCCCAGCTTTGCCTCGAGCTTGTCGAAGCATGGTTCCCCCAGACCCGTTGGGCAGTTTCTGATCACACAGGCCACTGTGCCGCCAATGCTGTCCTGTGCATCTCTATACTTGGCAATCAAGTCTTCCATGCGCCTGGTAACCTCGTCGCTCGGGCATCGCACTGGTAGGTACTCATCCACCTTCTCCCGTGTAATGGTGTCGACGAGCTTCAGGAACTCTGGGTTGGTGGATGCGGTGGGATGCTCGGGCGTAGGCGGGAACAGGAACTCGTTTCCAATTGAGTTTGTGAATGCAACAATTTCGATGCCGTAGGCTTCACGCAGGTACTTTTCTGCAATCGCACCAGCTGCTACCCGTCCTAGTTTATGTCAGCCGCAATGCGCCCTGGACATGCAATCGACGACGTACCAATAGTCTCACGAGCACTACTCCGGCCGCCTCCAGAGCTAGCCTTTACTCCGTACTTCTCCAGGTACGTCCAGTCGGCATGGCTCGGTCGCGGGTACTTGTCCATGGTCTGGTTGCCGTAGTCTTGCTTGCGCTGGTTCTCGTTCATGACCCTTATGCCAATCGGCGTGCCCAATGTGATGCCAAACTCTGTGCCAGACTGGATTTCAACCCGGTCCTTTTCATTGCGTGGGGTGGTGATGGCTGACTGGCCCGGCCGGCGGCGCGTCATCTGGGGTTGCATGTCTGCCTCTGTGAGCGCCATGCCAGGTGGGCAGCCGTCGATGATGGCGCCGACCGACAGGCAGTGGGATTCGCCATAGCTTTCACGAGTTCAGTATATGCGCCTTGTGTATGTAGGGTAGATGCGTACGTGGTGACGCGGAAATGTGTTCCGAACGTGGACATGGTGGCTTCAGCGGAGGGGTGCCAATTCGACTGCTGGGTACGGACGGAACTTGATATAAGATAACAAGGAGAAGCTGTGATCGATGTACACAGAAGCTGCTTGAGGAGTCTATAAGGTTTGTGTGCGTGTAGAGTCTATTGCAAGTCGGGCCAAACACGTGCGCTAGAACAACCAACGTCAGAGTCACTCTAGGAGTTTTATTTTAGTGGGGCGCGGAGCAGGGTCGTCTGGGTTTCCGAAGTCGGCCGCCGATGGTAAGGCTGCTTTGACTAGAGCCATGTTGCTTCCCCATCGGACGCCTTGAGGCACAACAACAAAAGTCAGCCAAGGTTAGGAGAGGATGGGATAAGCTATGGAGACATGCTCGAGGGAGCGTTGATTGTGTGATTTGGTAACATGTTGCAATACCATTGGATGGGTTCGGGACAGGTGCATCATATGGCTGTAAGCATGTGCTCGAGCCAGAAGCAGGTAATAACGTCTTCTGCCTATAAGTACGCTATATACAGTAGTAACACAAGACGTGACAAATGCCGTGTCTCCATCTCTGACATGAGTGAGTGACAATGTGGATGACGAATGTCGCCATAATCACGTGATCGGTCAGTCAGCATACATAAATAAATATGTATGGACACAACTACGTACACTACGTACGCATGTGTTGTTCTTGCATTGTTCCGTGCTTGTGGGCAGGGGAGGGTTGGCGAGTGATCAGGTGGGGTCCAGCAAATGGAAGGGGCGATGCCATAAGGGGCAAATCGAACAGCTGTGCATAGCTGATAGAATGGCGTCAGATACCTCCCATTGTTACCCATTGCTCATTGAAAGGCGGAATGTCCACCATGCAAGGCACAGCGCCATGACGGCAACGGGTAAAGCTGCCAAAGGCGCTGCCGAGTCCCAATGCCGTGAGCCAGAGCGACAATGAGCCTCAGATGCGCGCACGTTGGCGACCAAGTGGCAGGCTGTGGCAGGCACGAAGATCGCCCGGGATATTAGCGCGGACCCTTGCCGTGACCTCTCAAGAAGTTTTGCGCCTGGCCAACAACACCACCCCAAAACACCCCTCTATTCTTCCAATTGCATCCCAAACAAGCCGCCATCATGCCCGAGTACGTCAAGGTTGAGAGCATCATCCCCAAGGTCCCGCCGCCGGCCTTCAGCGACATCGCAAAGGCCTCCAACGACGTATGTTTTGGTTCCCCCGCGACGAGCTTCACAATAGCGCCATTGCTAACCCGCACCCCCTCTAGCTCATCAACAAGGACTTCTACCACACTGCCGCAGGTCAGACGCTCCCATTGACTCTGCGCACCCATCTGCTAACCCCCCGCCAGCTGCCCTTGAGGTCAAGCTCAAAGCCCCCAACGGTGTCAACTTCACTGCCAAGGGTACCTCTGCCCACGATGGCCCCGTCACCTCCTCTGTCAGTACACTGCCATCAATCGTTAAAAGATGCAATTCGCTGACAGACACTACAGCTCGAGGGAAAGAAGTCGCTCTCCAACGGTACGGCAATAACTCGTTCATTTTTTCCCCGCTCTGTCAGCCTAACAATACCTTTTCATTCATCACCCGGCTTTCACTCGTATATGTTTCACTTGGCGCAGCCTCCAGGCATCTGGGGCACGTCCGTTACAGGCTACAGACTCAATTGGCTGACGACAAACCGTGCAGGCATCAGCATTACCCAGTCATGGAACACTGCCAACCTGTTGGCTACCAAGGTTGAGCTCAACGACACCTTCGCTAGCGGCTTGAAGACTGAGGTCCTCTCCAACTTCAGCCCCGCGGCTGGTAACAAGGGCCAAAAGGTCAACCTTCACTTCAAGCAGCCTGCCTTCCACGGCCGTGCTTTCGTCGACTACTCTGCTGCTGGCGCCATTGGCACCACCGCTGATGCTGTCGTTAGCCACGAGGGCATGGTTGTTGGTGGTGAGGTTGGCTACGACGTCCAGAAGGCTGCCATCACCAAGTACTCGGCTGCCGTTGGATACACCACTCCTCTCTACAACGCCGCTGTCACTGCCACCAACTCCCTGAGTGTCTTCACTGCCTCTTACTACCAGCGTGTCAACCCCGCTGTCGAGGCCGGTGCTCGCGCCGTCTGGGACTCAAAGTCCGGCAACAACGTCGGCCTTGAGCTTGCCGCCAAGTACAAGCTTGACCCTCTGTCTTTCGCTAAGGTACGCCTTGGTCCCTGACATGCACGTGGATTTGTATGCTAAACCCTTCTAGGCCAAGATCAACAACCTCGGCATTGCTTCCCTCGCCTACAACACCAAGGTCAACAGCGGCCTGACCTTTGGCATTGGTGGCTCCTTCGATACCCAGAAGCTCAACGAGGCCGGCCACAAGCTCGGCACCAGCTTCACCTTTGAGGGTTAAGCGTCTCTTCGGGATGCACCTGTAGTAGATGACAGGATGGAGAAAAAATGAACAGAGCCTTTGACTTGCTTTGGTTCTTGCGAAGCGGTATTATATCAATATAGTCTGGAAAGAAGACCAGTCGCCTTTGTGCTTTATGCAGTAGGATAATCTTCTTCAATGCAAGCCTTTCAAGACTATGTACATATATTCTACATGGTCAAATATTGGCATGGTGTGATATGACATGTGATTTTGTAGACATGCATGTTTCGATTGGTTTCCGGAATATTTCTAGAATCAGATCCCTTACTAGTAGATACGGGAGGCACCGCTGCTAGTAGTTCCCCGCATGTTGGGAAACAAGGCTTGTGGAGATGCCGATGCACCTGCAGGGCATGGCATGACATGACATGGCACCCCATATAAAAGTTACCAGGCACCTGGTCTTGGCCTATTGCAAGAGGTCAGGGGCGCGTAATGCAGGGCTTCACTCTGGCCTTGGTCGATCTCCTTTAAGGACGCGAAGAGCGTTTACAAAATGGGTCTAGTGTGATTTGATTTCTAAGGTAGAGTAAACGCAATCTATGTATGTATCAATCAGGTAGTTTCTTTCCTCTTGGTGATAGTAGTATGCCCATCGTGGCGATCACCAAATATGTTTGCCGTTAGCCCCGCGAGCGCGATGACTCCCGACACCATGATGAAGTTGGCGAGCATGTTGCCCTTTTCCCACTCCTGCTCCACTTTGACAGTTCCATGCATCTTTCTCCGTCGGGCCCATATGTGTTCCTGCACATTTTCGTGCATCTCTCTATGCTGCTGGTCGTTAAAGTGCGGAACCGCATTACCTTGGCTTTGCTGGCCAGGCCCAAAACCACCATAGTCGCCGTAGCTTTCCTGGCCGGCCTCCTTGGCATTTGCCCCTTCTGAATGCGGGCTCGAATATGCGTATTCGGCTCTCTTCGCGCCATGTCTCCCGTAACCCCCTGATTTGTAAAACGATGGTGGAGGGCCCCGGAAGGTGCTGCGTTTCTTGTTTAGCCCGCTCGCTGGACGGGATCCGAATGCGGCCGAGCTATAACTCCCTTGGGGAATGTCGTTGCCACCCTTCCCCCAGCGCGATTGTCGCTGCGCAGACTCCAGCTGCGCATCGTATTGTGCACGCTTTTCGGGGACAGAAAGGACATGGTATGCCTCACTTATTGCGACAAAGCGTGTAGAGGCGTCGGGATCATTGCGGTTATGGTCTGGGTGGTTTTTCTTGGATAATGTATAGAACTGGCGCTTGACCTCAGACGCAGAAGCGCTTGATGTCAAGTGCAGTGTTTCATAATGGTTTTTCAGTGAATCGGCACACCGTGGGGTCGAGGCATGGAAGTGAGAGACTTGTTGTATGCGCCGCGGAGGTGCAGGTACTGTGCGACGGAGACATGAGTGGCAGATGTATGGCGCGTTGAAGGTCGCTAGCCGAGGAGTTGAGGATGGAGCGAATGGTCGCAGGAGAACAGATGGGCGGGGTGGCATTGCCCGAGAACAGCATGAAAAAGGGTTACATTAAAGGTTGGTGGTTGAGTGAATGTCTGCAGTGCATAGAGAACGTCATCGCCCGTCACGAGGCTAGCACAGGGTCGGATTAGTCTGCAGCTCAACTCCGAGCCATCGGGCAACTTAGCGGGGGCATTACAAGGCCCTCGTAAATTTCAAGATCACCCGCAATCCTAGCACCACTCCTCTCGTTGCACAGTCAACATGGCCGCAAAGGTAGCAGACGATGTCGCCAACCTGAAGTGTATGTTTTTGCAGAGATCATGGCTATGCATGGCCACAGCGACTAATGGCGTGCAGTGGACGACTCTCAGAGCAAGTCAGCCAACGGTGCGGCGCCAAATAGCGACAAGCCCACGGCCGACGCAGAACACGAAGACTCAGACGACGACAATGAAGCCGAGGACGGTGCACCAGAGGCCGGTGAAGGGGCAGCAAAAAAGAAGAAGAAGAGAAAGCCAAGGAAGAAGAAGAAGGCTGGTGCTGCAGGTGCAGGCGGACCCAAAGTACAGACAGCACCACCTCGAGTCCGTGTCGACGAGCTCTTCCCCAACGACTCGTATCCAGAGGGCGAAATCCAGGAATACGTCAACGAGAACTCGTATCGAACCACCAACGAAGAGAAGCGCCACCTCGACCGCATGAACAACGACTTCCTTACCGAATACCGCAAGGGTGCAGAGATTCACCGTCAAGTACGACAGTGGGCACAGGGCTGGATCAAGCCTGGCATGTCACTGACTGAAATTGCCGAGGGCATAGAAGACTCAGTCCGCGCTCTGACAGGACACCAAGGCCTTGAGGACGGAGATGCGTTGAAAGCGGGCATGGGTTTCCCAACTGGTCTCAGCATAAACCACTGTGCCGCCCACTACACACCAAACGCAGGCAACAAGATGGTCCTCAACTACGAGGATGTCATGAAGGTCGATTTCGGTGTCCACATCAATGGTCGTATTGTCGACAGTGCCTTCACCCTGACGTTTGATCCCGTCTACGATAACCTCATCAACGCGTGCAAAGCTGCTACAAATGCCGGTATCAAAGAGGCCGGTATCGATGTCCGCATGAGTGACATTGGTGCTGCTATTCAGGAAGTCATGGAGAGTTACGAGGTAGAAATCAAGGGCCAGATGCTGCCCGTAAAGTGTATCAGGAACCTGAACGGACACTCCATTGGCCACTTTACCATTCATGGAGGAAAGACGGTACCTATCGTCAAGGGAGGCGACCAGACTAAGATGGAAGAAGGTGAAACTTTTGCCATTGAGACCTTTGGCAGCACAGGAAAGGGTTATGTCCGGGACGACGTAAGGTTTCTCTCACTCTATATCCTACTATCTCACTAACAATTCTCCCTCTCTGCAGATGGAAACCTCGCATTATGCCAAGGCAGCAGATGCGCCCAAAGTCGCCCTTCGCGTCTCGTCGGCAAAGACGCTACTCAACTCCATCACCAAGAACTTTGGCACCCTGCCTTTCTGCAGGAGATATCTTGATCGTCTGGGCCACGACAAGTATCTCTTGGGTTTGAACAATTTGGTTAGTGCAGGTATTGTAGAGGCGTATCCGCCGCTGTGCGATATCAAGGGAAGTTATACCGCGCAGAGCGAACATGTAAGTCCCGATATTGACACCCGTACACTTGAATACGCAAGCTAATGCGGTGTAGACTTTTGTCCTAAGGCCAACATGCAAGGAGGTGCTGAGCCGTGGTGACGACTACTAGGCCATGCATCCTTCTGAACAAAAACAAGACCTCTAAAGGGAGGATGGGCATATCGGGTTTTGAGAAAAAGTGGAGAGCTACGTTGGAAAGTAAGCGCAACGACGAAATAACATCACTAGGCATAGTTTTATTTTGTGTTCTCCAAAGAAAAAGGAAAAACAGCATGGTCAGGATTCTGTGTACATACTCGATTAAGAATAAAGCGGAAATAAAAAACAATATACATGAATACTGGAGGTGGCGAGTAGTGCGTGTTAGATGCGAGACGTCATGCTTGTACTTTTGCTTTTTCTGCGACTGATTGGTTGTGGTGAGAAGATGCAAGTTTGCAGAACATGCTCCATATTCTGATCATCATATGATTCCAAGTCCATAACTATGCAAAGTAGATAGGAAAGAAAACCATGTCCATCATTCCGTAGATACAGGGCTATTTGGCGAAATCTTCTCTATTTAATCTAACCAATATCCGATACTCTGCTTCAATCATGTCATCTCCCCCTCAAACGAAAAGCCTCTGGACTAGCCTCATCAACATACTCTGACTGCACAAGCAGTTCATAAAACTCTCTATGCAGCCTCTGCACCGCCCCCGAGCCACCCCTCTTCTGCGTGTTTGCAAGCATAATCTGCAACATCGGCCTAACCGCATGCCAAAGATGAAATATACTCGACTCCGGCGTCCGGCACCCACCCAACAAAGCTACATTCCGCTTATACAGCGTCCAACCCGATTTCCCATTTTCCATCTTACTCTCACACAAAGCATACCCACTCTCCCACATGTCAGGCAATCGCAACTCACCCCGCGTATACAAGTCTTCAAACTGACTCCACACGCCTGTCGACGACCACATATCATCCCACCAATGCGGCACCACAACGCATACTTTCGAAAACGACGATGCTGCAGCGCCGAAAGTATGTGGTTTATAGAACGTAGTGAAGAAGCCCGGCCGATCCAAGGTCCAGATGCTGCCGCCGAAGACGTAGAGTTCCCAGGAATGACCTAGTTCGGCGAGGTGCTCCGAGGCTTGATGCAGGGGCTCGGTGGAGTCGATCTCGGGAGCCCTGGTGGTTGAACCGTTAGATTTCGCTTTCTAAGAAGAGACACGATAAGGAGTGCTTTTTTGCACACGAGTTCAGGGGATTGGGGGGGGGGCCAAAAACTCACCAAGGCACGACTTGCCTACTAATACGGTACTGCCACACCACGTGCGCGAGTTCGTGACAAAGTGTGATTGCCATTCGCAGATATAGCGTTTTTAGTTCGTGAACTGAGCTGCTGTGGCTCAAGAGGTACTTGAGACTGAACCAGTACTGGGTGTGCAGTATGATGCGTGGAGTGTCGAAGAAGGGGTATGCAGGCGCCATTACGAGGTTGTGGCGGAATCTTATGTATGCTGCGTTACTGCCGAATGCGCAGCCATCGATGCGTGACATATTCTTGTCAAGGTTTTCGAATTTGAGTTCTAGTACATATGGCAATTTTTTGGTGAGGAGGACATGTAGTTCGCTGTCTGCATAATTGCTGGTTTCGTAGGGTGCGCTTGCTAAGTAGCGTCTGCAGGTTCTGTCGAACTCTACTCGGCCGAATAGAGTGTGCTTCCACCATTTTAGAATTAGGGGCTCGGTCATGAATTTTGATGCGATTCGGAGTGCAGGAAGTAGCAGGGTGTAGTCTTCTGGGTTGATGTCTGACCATCTGCTCATCTGGAAAAGCGGGTGGATTTTATTATCAAGGGATATCTGTGGGAAGCTGACAATCTTGCTTAGTTTTCGTCGCCAGCCACATGGTATAGTTCCTGAAGTGACTACAGGGTTTTGAAGCACTTGCAAGTATTCTAGATCAGCCCCTGGATCTGCATTCAGGTTTCTCAGGCATGCGCTATGGGAAGACATGGTTATGATGAGAAGAAGTCTCTCGGGAGAAGAATTAAGTGCTTCTTTTTCTGGTGAGTTCGTTGTGGGAAGGCTCAAGGGAGGCTCGGGAAGTGCGAGAGTGACTGCGCCTCAGGTGCTGGAGCGAATGACAAGAGAGAAATCCACAAGTCTAGTCGCCAGTACGTCAGTATTCTAAAGTACTATATCAAAAAAAGAAAAGGGCTTTTTCCAAAAGATGTTTTTCTCATTGAGGTTTGTGATCCAGTGCCGTGGTTGTGCATCAACGCCTCTCCACTCATTGGCCTTGCGCACTGCCCAACCATAGTTCGTCAAGCCTTCTTCTTCGTTATACGATACCTGTTTTAATTAGTGAAAGCACGTCCTATATCTCTCGCAATGCTTACAAGAATAATTTTTCTCTCGAGTAGACGTCCTTGTCTGGGTCGTCGTCCACCTCCTGCACATCGAACATTTTCCGCGCCGTCTTCATAAAAGTAAGGTCTGCCCGTCTTCTTCGCTTGAAGCAAAAGTAGCACACGGTATTTTCGCCAATCAGATCCTTGAGTGTTTGCTGCAAGAGAGGGAAAGCCGGTTCAAAGTACACACAGTCCGCTGCGAGGATGATGTCCGGGTGAGATGGTAGTTGCGATGGCGTTGGTTCACCCCAGTCATACACTGATGCCTTGACACGTGACTCTAGGCCATTGAGAGCGATATTGCGCCCCATAAGGTCAAACATGGGTATCTGATCGGTGATATGTAGCGGTTTATCGACGTTACAACCTATTGCGACGGCCAGGCCGACGAGCCCTCCTCCTGCACCGAGTTCGACGATTTCCTTTCCAGCGACGTCATCGCGATGTTTCCGCAGCATGTACTTGCTCAGTACCATGCCTGCAGGCCACAACTGCCCACCACAGCCGTTCTTCAGATCTTCATGCAGGCTTAGTGGGGGTGATAACAGGCCGTCAAAATCGACTTTGGAGACCCCAGCAGATTTGATGGGCGCGGCAGGTACTAGGTCCTGGCTTACCGCGAAACCGTCGAGTTCAAGCATTTTTTGGAGGCCTGGGGGAAAAGTAATGCTCTAGCAACGGAGAGGTAAAGTTGCCTATCTTTGTGGAGGCTCAAAACAAATTAGTGCGTTGGTGCGGCCCGCAGTGGCGGGACATGCGGGGGCGTTCAAGGCCCGTTGTGGCCTTATGTATACCATCCTGTCCCATCATTCCGGTCATTGGACCGTTCAAGGAACTGGATCTTATACATGCCATTCCAGAGTAGCGATGATGCACCTTGTCGGAAACCCTAGAGATGCAGCCATCCGTACTTAGCATCGGCTCGTTATACGCCTCCGGCCGGCTATCTGCACCCGTCACGATCCCATTGCTTATCTTGTAGGCACGGCTAAGATCTACCTCGCACCTCGGCTCTACCAATTGAAGGTGCGTCCTAGCGAACTACATTGCACATGGAAAGCCACAATGCAAGGCATTTCTTGTGAGTGGAGTGGATACCAATAGCAAAATGCGCTCAGCCAAAATGGCTTGCTCGCATCTGTTCTATTTAAATTCATATCTCGCGCCTTCGTCAAAGCCACATCATCACGACATTTCCACAAGAAACCTCACAGATAGTTCGTGAGTAATTCCATTCCCGAACCTAGAAGCCTGCCATGGGTCTTCCAACAGAGGTCTTGCAGGCCTGGGCTGCTTGCGACCGTACTGATACTCTTTTCGTACTGGTCTGCTCAGTCTTTTGTACGTTCGCATCTCATAATGGTAGACGGTATTTGCTGACTGAGCAAGGCTGGGGAATCATTCCGGCAGTAGGCATTGCCTACAGTGGTTACACTACGCGCTCCAACTCTCTTGCGGCAATTGTGCCTGCAGTTCTCTCCGTAATTGTTTGCTCAATACAGTGGTTTCTGATCGGATACACGTTGACGTATGGAGAAGGAGGTGCAATATTCGGAGATTTCAAGTACGCATTCCATAAGGGTGTTTTGGCAGAGCCCGTGGGAACTATACCTGCAGTTCTCTTCAGCTTCTTTCAACTCGTCTTCCAGGCTACGGTGTGTGCAATTGCCGTCGGGGGTGCCTGCGAGAGAGGACGCATACTGCCACTGATACCTTTTATTTTCGTAAGCTGAGTAACCTTTTGGGAATCGGTCAATATCCTGATTTGAGTAGTTGTGGTCAACATTCATATACAACCCCCTAGCACACATGGTCTGGGGCGGAGGCTTTCTCATGGATTTGGGCGTCCTGGACTTCGCCGGCGGAACACCGGTACACATCAACTCTGGAGCATCAGCAACTGCCATGTCCGTTTACCTTTCTTATCCTCTGTTCCGCTCACGCAAATCGTCTATACGAACACCATCACACCTGGTTATCCATCGTCCCGTCAACTCGCTCTGTCAGCTACTGGCCATGATTAGTATTTGGGGCTCATGGCTCGCTTTCGATGCTGGCACGACTCTGGCATTCAACTTCAAGTCAGTCATGGCACTTTGCGTTACAAACCTTTGTGCCGCTTCCGGTGCGCTAACGTGGATGTTGTACACGTACATGGAAGTTGGTCGTTGGAGTTTGGATTCGTGCTTTATGGGCGCCATCTCGGGGCTTATCATGATTACGCCCTCGGCTGGCTTTATCGACCTACCAACCTCTTTCTTCTTTGGTATTCTAGGCGCACTTGTCTGCCGCCAGGCACTCCGAATCAAGTTTACTGACTTTGCTCGGCGCTGGCGCTGGGTAGACCATGGCGACACTTTTGCAACGCACTGTATCGGCGGTGTTCTGGCTACTATATCGACAGGTTGCTTTGCTCGAAAAGAAGTCGCAGGTTATGATGGAGTGACTGAGATTGTCGGGGGCGTCTTCTTCGATGGCAACGCACGACAGCTGGGTATTCAGATTATGGAGGCCCTTGTTGGATTCACGTGGTCGTTCATTGGAAGCTACGTCATTTATGCACTAATTGATTGCGTTCCTGGCTTCGAGGTGTTGGCCGAGGACAAGTGAGTAGTGTCACGGAGCAAAAACTACATTACTGATATATGCTAGGGACATCATCGCAGGCTTAGACGCAAGTCAATTAGACGAGGAAACGCTATGGACGGAAACGCAGAAATACTACCCTTATGCCGAACTCGAGGGTGAGCTACATCTCGATTGATATAGCGGGGGAGTTTCGAATTGGTAATATGCGATATGGATGATAGAAAACAAAAGACAACATACTATGTTGATGAAACTAGACAAGGGTAGTCAAGATCACCAGGAGCCGAAGTTAAATCCCCATGTTCATTGCCGGGTACGACGAATACTATGTTTGTCCCAAGGTAGAGGGAAATTAGAGATAATACTATAAGAATACGAAGACACGTGCGCGTAGCAACTACTCGGTCCCAACTCCACGGCAACTCCCCCATCGCAATCAGATAAACAAGAAGACAGGCATCGTCTGACTGAATTGACAAGAGTCAGTACTTCACCCCGTATATACATGCGTATACAACCCGATCAACTATACACCCAGAACCAAATCTTCCCTTTCTACCCCGCCAAACACTAAACCAAATATATCCCAACACCATTGCGTAAAGCCAGAGAAAGCAATACTCTTCGATAAACATATAGAGTAATCCACCCAACAAAAAAAACATAATAACAGATATGCAAAACACATCACCCCTCCAACGCCTTCAACCCCTCGACCAAAACCCCAAAACTCTTCACCCTCTCATGCCCCTTCCCCCTCTTCTTCTTCTCCTCCTCCTCCTCCCCCACCTTCCCCTCTCCCTCTCCCCCCACCTCCCCAGACCCCTCCTCCCCAAACCCCTCCTCCAACTGCCTCTCCACCTGCTCACGATCCAACACCCTCCTCGCCTCGTCCAACCCCCCAATATCGCGCGCATTCGTAAACCCCATCTCCCTCAGCGTCTGCAGCGCGAGATTGGAGCGGCGCCCGCTGCGGCAGTAGAGCGTGATGCGATCGTCTTTGGTGACTTGGATCCCTTTTTCAGCGTACACGGCGGGCAATGTGGAGATGAGCTGGTATTCGATGTTTACGGTGGGGGCCATGTCCGAGGTTAGGTAGCCTGTGGAGAATTCGCTTGGGGTGCGGACGTCGATGAGGAGGTTTTGGGGGGCCATGGTTTGGTTTGTTTCTTTTCTCGGGGTTTTTTTCCCTTCTCTTTATATGTGGTGTTTTTGTTCTTTGAGCGTCTGTGTATATTTTTGGATAGGAAATGTATATATATATATGTGTTTGTGTGGTTGTTTGTTTTTGAGGGGAGGGGAGAAAGATAGATGTTCGTTGTGCTTCTCTTAAACAAGTGACTGATGCTCGTCATCGGTGCGGGGAATTCGCGGAACCCCGAGAGAGAGACTTCGCCGTACTCGGAGTGTGCTAGCTTTGTAGCCAGTATGTGCATACACCACCACGTCTTTGTGCCTCGCCATGCTCTGCAAAGACTTCCATCTCAGAAGATAAGCGCTAGAAAGTTACAGGTATAGATTGCGGTGTTTAGGACTCGTATACATTGGTTCGGATAAACCATCGTGAGTGCAAAGACCCCGAATGACTGTATACTCGGCGACTATCTAGCAGCCAAGGTATGCATAGCAGCACTGGAACCATATGCGTATCACCACAATCCTTTTGTATCAACCTCAACGCCGTTGCTATCACGTGTGAACCCATCACTTTTCAAAGTAAAACTCTCTTTGATGATTTCTTTCATTTGCAAAAGTGCCGGCCAGATTGACCTCTGATGCCAGACACTACGGCTATAGGAAAACCCTTTTTCTTTTCCTGCATCTCCTACTGTGATGCTTTCCTCCTACCATCACACTGATAGGCCGGTTGCTACGATAGCAGAATCTTCTCTCTTTTCAACGCCAAAAACCCAAGTTATTACAGGCTTTTCCAAGTCCAACTGGTTATGCAAAATGTAAGAGATGTTGAGCAGATGATTGTAGTCTGCCACCAAAAAAAAAGATGGTTGCCACCCAAAAAGAAAATCGCTGAAGTGGTATAAAACAAACAAAAGAGACTGCGGCATTGGTATCGTGAGTGCCCGAGGCATGACGGACGAGAATAAAAGAAACAAAAACGCAAAAAAAAAAAGATTAACGTATGTGAATCAAAAGTGCTAGCCGGTATACATGTGAGCACCGAATCGATCTGGGATGGGAGACCAGAGAGTACGGCTCAGAAAATAAAACACGCAATGAAGCGAAGTAAACAAGTCTAAGAACCCTTGAGGTTCGATGTCGAGAAGTTGAAGTTGAGAAACTCGAATTTGTCTTTCGAGGTGGTTCGGCTTTCAGTCGACAAGATGCTCTGAGCACTGTTGTCGATGGATGGCGAACCCCTTGTGGAATGCTGTATGTCGCGTGGTTCGAGAAGCAATGAACGACGGTAGTAGTTTTGAACGTTGGCTTGGTCGCTCGCACGCATCCGTTGTATCTGGCTATCCATCCAGTCTTGCATTTCTGGGACGGCGGCTAGCCGATAGGGAACTTGGAACGACTGCAGTTGGCAGATAATCTTCGCAGTCTTCATGTGCTTGTCGAAATTGATAACCGAGACGCTATCAGACCCAGGGTCACCAGGGAGCTGTCGCGTAGTACCGTTACCAACATCGATGAATGTGAGATCCGTGAGGTAGATGCCGACGAAAGGAATGCATGGTGCAATGTGGTCCTGAAGACGCTGTCGCAGTACGGCGTAGTTACGTCCAACATCAGTGATTGCTTTCAATTCGTCCAAGCGAGCCTTGGTCTTTGTTGACACAAGGTCCCACGTCCGCTTGAGACGCATGATCATGGAAGAGTTGAGGGAGCAGATAATGGCCATGAGTGAGTCGTAGTTGTGCAGCTCCAAGCACTTAGCTGCAATCTTAACCCACTGCTTGATTATAATTGCTCGCTTCTTAGCATCCTCAAGTTGCAAAATGGTATCGGCAACCAGGTTTGCCAGGTCGGTCGAAAGAGTCGACATTGCCTTGACGTTGTGTGCCTTGGAATCCTTCTTCTTGGTCCACTCGAGGGCAAGAAGCTCTTCTGGTTGAATGGCGCAAAAGAGCTTCGATTCAATAATGGTAAACTGTCTGGCAAGCTCTAGAGGATCAAAGTCCATGATGCTGCATTGCGCTTTTCCTTCTTTGCTGGCCCGAAGAGCATTGAGTTGGCTCTTGCTGACGAGTGGTGTTGGAACGTTGCTGTCGGCGGGTGTATACGTAGCATTTGAGGCACTATTCTTGCCAATCGACGACACCAAGCGAGGCACAAGGGCTCCAGCCCTCACTTCGGTTACCTTAGATGTCAATTCCGCGAGTCGTTTGCCGGCACCAGGCATAGCAGCTCGGAGTTTTTCAGTCGCAAATGCCAAGATCACCCCCAAGGCGTCACAATCGGTATCGTTTGACCAGTGGCTTTCAAGCCAGCCCTTGAAAACGTTATAAACTCGGAGACGGACCGGTACACCCACGGTTTGGCTGCTGCCAATGTAATCGAAACGGTCAATCAGGCATTGTGCAAGTTCAGTCGGTGTGGTGAAAAGACGGAAGGTGAGATAGAAGGCGTTGACAAAGACAATGTCTGGTGTGGATTCGTACGTCGTCAGCTGCTCTACCAGGGCTGGGAGCGAACCGCCTGAAATCTGGCCATCCTTGTTGTAAACTAGCTCGTGCACGTACGTTGTTTCCAACAAGTGCTCCTCGCCAGCAGCAGCAGCATCCTCATTGGCCAACTGCTGAAGCTCAGAGCAACTGCCAACGCTGCTGACCAAGGTTTGACAGCTTTGCTTCTTCGAAGGCGAGTGGTCGGGGGTAGTGGCACGAGTCGAGACAAGAGACTCGGCACTCATAGAGCCGCCTCGTGCACTGGAGTGATAGGTACTGGCGCTGTCGGTGACAGATGCGATGACGCTTTCAGCGTTCAAAGAGCCAACGAGGCTTTCTTGAGTAGCGTTTGCAGGACTCTCAGCCGACTCAGACAGAGTGGACGGATTCAGTACCGGGGTGGGCACAGCATCGAGAGGCGGCAGAGATGTTCGGGACGATCTGAAGGATACGGCAGTCGGGCTTTCGACGATGACTGGCTGATGAGTTGGCTGTAGACTAATCCTTTGTTTTTCAATGGGCGAAGGGAGTGGCACTTCGGGCAAAGGCTTCGATTCGGAGACGACAGGTGGGAGAGGCTTCTCAGGCTCCTCAGTTGGCGGTGCTGGCAGTGGCTTGTTGGTCTCCATGACATTTTCGTTAGGCTTAGGTGAGGCAGGCATCTCAACTGTTGGTTGATGTTGCTCACTGAGGCTAGGTTCCTGGAATATCGATTTCTCTAGCCCCAAACCAGCAGCCCCAGTTTCAAACTCAAAGTCACCAATCCTTTCAATCACAACCCTAGCCTTAGTGACACAGTCACCAGCGGCCCGTACACAGCTTGTGGCAGCCTTGACAATCTGCTTCCCAGCATCTGGCGCTACGACTTCTTCGCCCTCTGCATCTGCCTGGATGAACATATCCTTGGTAGCTTGCACAAGTTCGGTCAGACGGGTGTACATGGCGTCTCGTGCTTCCTCGAGCGGGTTAGACCTTCGCGAGTCGCGTTCCCATACTTCCTCAACAACTGCGAGGAGTTGTTTACAAGCGACGACAGAGTTTTTGGTGGTCTGAGCTAGCTCATCCGAAGAGCGTGATTGCAGGTGCAAACCGATAAAAGAGCCGATGAAGCCCAAAAAAGCGTCTTGAGCAGTATTCAGTTTCTCGGAAGCGAGGTTTCCTCTGTGCGCACTGAACGACTTGCGTGTGTATGACAAGCGATGCGTCATAGAGGTGCGTTTCGACTGAAATCCGGATTGAGAATGTAGTATTGATGACTGAACAGAGTCTGCTTCGGAGGGTAGAGAAAAGGCGACGGAGAGGCGGTTGAAGTTTCGCGACGATTGGGCGGATCCAGTGTACCAGTCGTCCTGTGTCGATCCACTGGCCTGTGTGGCTGGAGAATCACAAGTATTCGCCGAGGCACTATCGTCAGTAGATGGGGCCAATATTGTAATTGGTTCCACTGCAGCGTCCGAAGGCGGGGTGAGTGGGCGGTTGTCCACACCATCCAGCTCAAACAGTGACAGAGAGACGGCATCTGATGTCCAGATGTCAAGAAAACGAACTGCCCTAGTGACGAGCTTGAACGACTTGAACACAAGCTCATCCATGTGCTCAAATACGGGGAGAGGTAGCTCGTTGGATTGCAAAGCTTCCTGGAAGGACTTTGCTGTTTTTACGAGGGTAGAGAGATCGCCCAACAGGGCTTTCCGCATACGACGCAAACCTACATGGGCCAGAACGAGCCGCGAGTCTTTCTGTAGACACTCGGTCCTTTCCTGATAAGAGTTAGCAGGAGGATCAAAGATGAAAATGTGGATACACTGAATGAGCCGGACTTACAAGGAAAAGTCGTACGCCGACGATCATGCCTCGGACGTAGTCTTGCCTCGAAAAGGCGACCAGATCGCCATTCTCTCCGTCGCGGACAAGATCCCAGATGTATGTGAGAGCAGTCAGCAGATTTCGAATAATGGGATGGTCATAAGGCTCGCAGTAGTTGGTCGGGAGCCATCCACGGGCGCCTGAGGCCAACAATGTGCCATCGGCCCATCCATTTGGATGAACGGAATGAACGAGGATGACATCGCCTTGGTTAATGGCTACGGTGATGGAAGACTCATCCGCCGACGATGATGAAACGGTCGAGGTCGGGTTGTAGTGATAAAAGGCGCGAAGATAGTTGTGAAATTGGGGTTGTTGTTGTTGTTGTTGTTGCTGCTGTGATTGCTGTGGAGCCATGGCCTCGGTCGAACACTTCGGGGTCAATGGGGGCGACATGTGTTTTTGCGAGTGGCTTCCAAGAGTGCCCCTTGAGGATGACTGTCGACTATGGCCGCGGATGGCTGTACGAGAGCGTGACCTGCTAGGTGACTTGTGAATGTTTAAGGGTGCTACGAGTGCACTGGATCGCTTGTCCATGTCTTCTTGCTCGTAGTTAGGTGACGCCATGTCAAAAGCGAGGCGAAATCGTCCTAGGAAAGGTCGCTAACTAGGCGCTGTATGTGCATACATGTGTAGCTAGCATTTGGTAGACGAGCCTGGTGTATGTAAAACGAGAGGTGTGGTATCGTGGTAGTGTGCTTCTTGTTGACTGGTTACTATAATGTTGGATAGATGCGGGAGTGAGGAACGACGACAATGGTGCGAGGAGAGCCCAAGCAGGCAAGTGGAGCAGGAGATGGGGGGGGAGGGCAAACGGAAAGTGACATACCCGATGTGACAGCAGCTAGCGCGCTGTGAAAGTGAAGAAGGAGAGGATGAAGCAGAGCGTGACAGATGTTACAGTGAATGGAAATGGGTGGGCGAATGGGCCAGTGGTGTTGATGTTTGCCGGGAAAATGGCAATAGTGAATTAGGCGGGCGGGTAGAAAGCTGGGACGGGGTGTGTTTCCGGGAGACAGAAGATGGCACAGGGCAATTGTGGGTGGAAGGGTGGAAGGAGCGAGTAGAAGAAGCTCAGACACGGTCTGTCTCTCGTCGAGGCGTGCAGGTGTTTGAGAGGGGGGTGTGGTTGCTGCGGAGGGGCAGGAGCCAGTGCTTTGAGAGAGGGTGTAGGGCTCTATCTTGTAATGGCGATTGCGGCGCGGAGCAGGAAAGAAGCAGAGGATTAGGATTGCAAGGGTCGGCCTGAGTGTCGAGGTTGTTTGCAGGGGAGGGCTGGGGCGGCGGCGGCTCCTTCCAACGGTTCGTTTGCGAGGCAGGCGCACTGCAGGCCAGGGAAGGAGCGACTGGAAAAGAAAGCAAGAGCACGAGCGGAGGAAGCAGCGCAGGCAGGAGCAGCCGGAGGAGGCAATTGGCACGGCAGGTAGGGAGAGGCTGCAGAGGCCGAGGGTCGTCGAGGCTGAACAGACTGGCTGGGCGTGTGTTATTATCACATCACGATGCAATCCTTGGGCCAGGCTGGTGCTGCTGTGCAAAAAGATTCATGAATAGTAGGACAGGGGTGGACTGTCAGTGGTGCAGGGGTGCTTGGCCAGGGTCAAGGAGCGTTGGCGGGCTGCGGCGTTGCTC